ACCTGTAGAGGAACCCTAAACCCTAAACCCTAGGCCCTAAACCCTAAACCCTAAACCCTAAACCCTAAACCCTAAACCTTACCTAAAGACACCTGTAGAGGAACCAGAACAGCCCCAAACCTCAAGCAACCTTTGCACTTGGCTCGGAGGGGGGCTGGGCGACTTCGCTCCATGGCCAGCAACTTGCGGGCTTCCTCGAAGAGTTGCTGTAATATAGGGGCCTTACTAACTACCTATACTATTTTTTGGGGGGTTCCCTGTTATGATGATAGTATAATGGGCCCAAAACCCTATTCTAATTATTAAGGCTCCTATATTACGGGAAAGAGATGTCGGCCTTAGACCTCGTAGTTTATTCTAAAGTTTATGCTGGGTTTAGGGCTGGGAGGTCGCAGGAACACAAGATCCTAAGCATCGGAGTACAGGTGCCGCTATGATGATGCTTCCATAGGTATTTGTGGTCTTAGCCGAATAACTTTGGCAGTCATATCTCTTCCTTTGGTGCCCTTCGGTGTCTAGCGTTTCGGTACAATCATGTGCTGATTTCTGACATCCCACATGTTGTCTACAGGTAAAAACCGTTCATGCTATGAGAACTGATTTTGTTCACTAGCTTCGGACGCCCGAAAGTGTTGAACTCAGTCTTGTCCCTTTTGTTGGCATCTCATGGTGGAGAAGATCAGAATGTTGAAGCCAACTCATGCTTACAACACGCTGCATTTTCGTAGTCTTTCGCCGTTTCGTGGCCTGCACATCATGGTAAAGAGGCGCGACTTCGTTTCGAGCATTACCGAAATTTGGAATTTCTGCTAGCATGGAGCATCTACGCTGGCACCCAAGAAGAATCCAGAACCTCCCTCCCCCCCTAAACCCCGAAACCCCTAAACCCCCAAACACTAAACCCCGAAACCCCTAAGCCCTAAACCCCTAAGCCCTAAGCCCCAAAACCCTGAAGTTTAAGCCCTGTTCCTAAACCCAAATACCCTGGACTTCGGCATCTCAAGTTCTTGATACTTAATACTTAGGCATACTTAGGCTGTAGAAGAAGAAATCTTAATCCCGGCTTATGGGTGAGGAGATTAGAAGTTGAAGGTTGAATAGGGCTCTGGGGCAGTTTGGGTTTAGGGTTTCGTTTTTGACTAAGGTTGAGTGCCTTTGGGGTTTGAGCCGGCGTCCATGCTGACTGAGCCTCAGGAGCAGGTAGATGTGCGCAGTGCCAAAGATCTGGCACGCTGGCTGAAGGCTCACCACACACAGGAGATGCCACTGAAACTGCACGTCGGGCTTTGAGCAGCCTTCAGATTGTCCGCTGTTGCTGCTTGAGGTTTTGGCTTCTGTTTCTGCAAATGCCCTCACCTCCGAGTTCTTGCAGTTTCGTTTGACGTGCACGGTGACCCCATTCCCGTTCCGCTCGTGCTTTCAACTACGCCATTGCTTGTGTCGACAACCGACAGAAGCCGTCATGAAAACGCCGAGCATGCAATCCTACGGGTGATGAGGAGGAGGAGGAGGAGGGTATATTACGGTTATGATGAGGAGGAGGAGGAGCAAATAAAGTGCCCTAGGAGTCGAGTTGCCGAATTAGTGCCCAAACCCTAAACCCTAAGCCTTAAACCCTAAACCTTAAACCCTAAACATTAAACCCTCAACCTTACACCCTAAACCCAAGGCCTTAAACCTTAAATCCGAAGCCTCAACGAAGAGAAGATTCGAAGGACAAGTCCGTGTGGATCACCCGATGGAAGCAGGGGACGAAGTTTCACGTGCCGCTTCCCGACGCTTTGCTGATTCTGGGCCCCTTAGGGTTTTAGGGTTTTGGGTTTGGGTTTAATGTAGGGGCTTGAATAATTCGAATAAAGTTTTGGGGTGCATTATACTACAGTTACAATAAGGAGCCCCAAAATAGTATTGGCACTTATTTAGGCCCCTATATTAGGGGTTCTTGGCCCCAAGCTGCATGGGTAAAAAAGGGTTTAGGGCTTGGGGGCTGATTCGTGGAAGAATCCTTTAACCCTAAGCCATCAACTTGTCTGAACTCCAACCCCTCGTGTTTGAAGCACGGAAAGCTACTGCCCATGGTCTGGTTTCGCGTTTGGCTGGGTTCTTGTTCAGGAACTCAGGTTCAGCTACGGCAATCGAGGCATCCTTTTGTTTAGAATTTACAGCACTTCCGGATAGATGGCTTAAGGTGCAGCAGGAACGTGTTAGAATGCAAGTTCATCCGCGCATACCAGACCTGCAACAGCACCCTGCAAAACCCTTCCAACATTTACTGCTTCGTCGCGAGGTGGAAGGATCCAGTGAGTTTTTCATCTCTTTGGGGCCACTTAAGCAGCCATGCGTCACACAGACCTCAGCAACTTTCAGCATTGAGGCCTCAACCCTGGACGCAAACGATGCATCCTAAACCCCCGTAAACCCCAAACCCTGAACCTTTATAACTTGAATGCCCCGTGGAATGCTTAACTTGCCACAAGAGAGGGTGAAGTAAACCACAGGGCAAACATCAGGGAAAGGTGAGAGCAGGACCGCTTGAATATCAGGGAAAGTTTGAGACAGGATTGTTC